AACTCGGAAACGCTTTGCACAATCAGAACTAAGAGAGAAAGCGAGAGAGAGCATGGCAATTAATTTCGGAAAGTTCTTCTTCCACAACTTTCTGCCGAACCGTAATACGTCAGAGCAAGCAGAGAATCGCGACACTGCTGCCAGCAGTTCAGACAATGACTACGAGGACGACGAGTACACCGAGCAGGCGCATGCAAATTCCGGTTTCGTGTTGGATAGCCAGGACGACAAACTGACCCAGGTGTTGGAATCCCTGCGTCGGGTTATTTCTATTCACAAGGCCCAGCAACAACAGCAGCAGCATCAGGATCAGCTGAAGGCGTTGGCTGAGCATCCGCCCTCCAGAACCACGGAAGGGGCTCATTCAGGCGACGCAGAAAGTTCGATCTCAGAAACTGAACGGCTTCAACTGCATGAGTACCAGCGGTTTCCTCCCAGGAAGACAGGCTTGCATGGTAATCGTCGTTTTTCGGCCGCTGCGGTCCTCGGCCCCCGAAGTCACCATCATCATCAAAGGAGTCTTGATCTGGGGCCTACTCTGTTTGGAAAACAGTCGTTTAAGGCAACCGAAAGGCTGTCACGCAAACCTGAGAAGGTGAGTAGAAATGCCGTTTTTGCATATGTCCTGTAGGTTGGTCGGAATTTTGATTGATGAGGCGGTTTACTCTTATAATATGTTTTGGCCTATCGTACAATGGCTCATCGACCTAGCACTCGTCGTCCTCAAAAAAGGTTGACCTCTAGGGTAGGTTTATGTTGCCTGGAATTCACCCTTTATCGTACGATGCAGGATATCCTCCCGAACTGGAAATTTATTCTGATCTATCTCCAGGAAGGTTTTATTGAAGTGAACCTATACTCTCAATACTCAATGATGAATAAAAATGCCTCAAACTTTATTTCAGATCAACTTTTTGCCCCCTCCCCCATTCATTCCGTAGTCGTAATGCCGCTGTTGATGGCATATAAAGAGCCACACGAACACTAGACTAAACCAGAGTTTCCCTTTTTATAATTTCCTGATAAATTAGCTTTTAGTTGATCCAATTGGGAAAAAATTCCCTGCATTCGGCAGGTTTTGAACCCGCCTTAACGCGAAACCAATGCTCTGCTAGCTGAGCTACAAATGCCACGCCTAGCACCGTGAATCTAATCACACTTGAACTGATGGCGTTTGACTGGCTACATTTCGCAAGGCGAGCGCTTTGGTGCTGAAACGGGTTAAACTCATCAGCCAAGGCTCCACTCTATATGCCTTCTTCGAATATAAATATCGGTAAGGATAGGGTGTGTAAACACATTAGAGAAACCGCAAGTGAGTAACCATAGCCTCAACATCTAACGTTAACGATAACCCTAACCCCAAGTAAAACACTGTATCCAACTCTGAACGTAGACTTCTCGCCCTAACCTTGACCTGAAAACATAACGTTAGCTCTAACCACGATTCATAACTCCCATCCCAGCATGTAGCCCTAATCCTAGTCCCATTCTCTGATCCTGACACTAGAAACTAAGCCATAACACCGAGACATAAGTGTGGTCCTCAAACCTCAATTTATTTCTCATCTAAATCTTTATTTCATGTGTTCCGTGGATTGAATGGAGTGAGTAATATGTCTTAGGAATTTGAATTCAATAAAAACATAATTCCTCGAGGAAAGCCTACTTACTTTAACATTTACTGTGGCACGCTTATGGCTGATTTTGCACTCCATAGGTCTCTCGCCTTTAGTGCTTGTACTCAGCGGCAACAGGTGGCCGAAGCGCACTCCTGAAGTTGTGTTTTTTATCAGTAAATTGTGCGCTTTTCGGAATATATGTGCATTTTTAAAATATAAATTTAGACAAGGATAGAGTATGTAACCACACTGGAGAAACTGCAGCTGAATAACTCTAACCTCAACATCTAACGCTAGTACCTAAGCGCACTCCCTTATCCTGACTTCAACCATAAAGCCTTAACTAAAACATAAAGTTCAACCCTGAAAATAAATTTCTAAATCTAACCCGAAAACATAACTTCAACACATAACCTAACACGTAACCCAATTCGTTACCGTAATTCTAGCCCCATTATCTAATCCTGATCTTAGGAAACGAGCCGTAACTTGTTGATGAGCGCTCACCTGAAGGCTCGTGACTTAAGAGTTAGGACATTTGACTCTGATCGAAAAAGGTCGCGCTTTCGAGGCTAACGCAGGGCAGCACTTGGGTCTGGGTATGACTGGCTGACGACGGTTAATAAGCCAGAAACGGTCATTCCGGTCTCCCTTGTTGGTGCTGGTAATACTAATTATCAGCCCTAACCTCGAGAGTTAAGTGTAGGAGAAGAAGAGCCTTCCCCGGGAAAGTTTTATTAAATGTCTGACGTTTCCGGTAGTTGGTTCGTCTACTCATCTTCCAAGACGGAATAGTCCGATTAATGGTTTTCGTCAAGTCCGGCTGAGCCGCTGTGCTAAGAACCTTTTTATTTGGGGATATTTGTTAGAAGTGTAGCTTGACCAAAGTCTAGCAACCTTGCAGGCTCTCCTGAGGCGTCGTGCCTGCCGCCGACTGCTACAATGATTCCTTTGTCAACAGAGAACTGCCTTCAAGGTCATATGCCTTTTCTGGGCTGCGCCCGAGCGATAACCTTAAAACTGACACACACGCACGCAAGTGCGAACTGGTCGCAGTTCCTTACTGGGTCACTTAGGTTCACCACAGTAGATGACGCGCCCAATCAGGCTACAGGCGAACGCGCTTAAAAATCACGTATAAGCCACTGACGCATCCCAGATAGTGAGTTGCACAAGGACTGCGAGGGTGCCGCCAGTCCGTTCCCCACTGCCGGGGTTCGTCCCGAGATGGGGACATTCAGCGCGCTGAAGATCAACCAGCAGCAACTGCCACCCGAGGAAGCAACTCGAGGTTTTGTACACAATAAACTCTCGTCCGGGTGGAGTCCAAAATTACGCCCCTATTATTGTGTTCTCCACTGGGGATTCCAAAGGGCGTAATTAGACGGTGACACCACCGAAGTCACCGTCACAACAGCATTCACGGCATGGGGCTGCCAACAAGCTCTGCGGCTACCAAGCCAGCTTGAAACAAGTTACGGCGAGACACGGGTGAGCGCGACACAACAGATGGCTAACGTACGTGTGGGGCAAAACAAACACTAGCACCACGACACAAGTGACAGTGAACTGCGAGCCACACACACAGCGTCTCAGCTGGAATTGACGGAATATGCACACGGAAGAGGAGTGGCATATAACGAGAACCATGAGCCGGAATATTCCGTATCTGAAGGTGAGTAGTCGATACAACTACCCGAAACACGTCAGACACCAAATAAACCTTTCCCAGTGAACACTCTTTCTACTTATTTTGAATTACTTCCTATGAAGGTGTAATTGCATCGAAGGTCGCAGTTTGCGACGCTAGTGACGCAAATTTTTAGATAATTTAGGGGGTTTTTGGCAGATTTGCTGAATTTAGTTGGCCCAATTGCGAAAAAGTCGCGCCATTTGGCGGGAGTCGAACCCGCATAGCAGTGAAGGCTGTTACGCATCCAACGCTCGACCACTTGAGCTACAAACGCCACGACTTGCGTCGTGAATTTAATCATAATTGGTCGATTTTACCTTCTCAACTTACCGCTCGTATGGAATCCACCAATACGGAGCAGAAAGCTGACTGCCCAAGCGGATTTCCTAAGCAATCATCTAGAATCTACCAGAATGACTACTAGGCTGACTCTATTATTTAAGGGATTTTGCTAGATTTCCTTAATTTAGTTGACCCAATTTTCGATAATTACTGCTGTAAAAATTAACTTTGCTGTTTTCGACATGAATAAACCCAGGTCTAAAAGCATCAGTCTTTAAATAATGAGGCTTTAGGTGATTTCTTGACTTATTGCATTTTAATATGCAATCAACTGATTTTCTTTGAAAGGATTATTATGAATTACAAGCTTTCGTTTAACCTAACTATGAAAAGACAGCAGCCTCAATGGGATTCGAACCCACGAAAGCCAGGGGGAGGCTTAGATGCTTGACCAATGAAGCCTAACCACGACCCGTGAGTCTAATCACACCTGAACTAAATTAGCCGCCCAATCTACTGCAAGGTGGGAAATTTACCAATTGCAATTTTTACTTAACTCACGGCTCCAAGTGGTGCCTTGTAGCTCAGAAGTGTAGAACATTGACTAGATGGCGGAAA